GCGCTATCATCATTTTCCTCTGTGTGTTTATCTGGTGATAAACAGACAATCTTGTAATACCACAGCCAAAGAATAACTGTAAAGAATTTGCAGAAAGTTGCTGAAATGCTTTAATGACCACACACAGAGCTTTAACATCATTAATAGCTTTGGGAAGGGAAAAAAAAAGAACAAATTCTCCACAGGAGAAAAAAAACCAAAAAGCTTAGAAGCTATTTTTAATTTTTTATTTTAGGATTCACAGATATCATAACTATTCTGGAATGACCAGTGCACGGTGTGGGGGATTTTATGTTTTATATTTCTTATTTTCGTAGATAGCTTCCTGAAAGGTTACACCACTGCCAGATACAAGACAGATCCTACAAGAAACAATCATAAACTGGTTTTTGGCACCATTTACTTGTTTCTCCAAAGCAATAAAAAAGAAACTTAAGGTAAGAGAAAAATAAAAGGGTGCTTTCTTCAAGTACCAAGAAGGTTAAACTGACTTGTATATTATTTGAGTACATCATGCAATAGAAGGACTGACTTTGCTTTCAGACACAGAAGTGTTTTGTTGGGGTGTACGATGTGTGTAGTCTGGTTCAGTGGTTCCCAAACCATGGTCTGCAGAACACTGGTGGTCCAGGAGGCCACGGTAAAGGGTTCGCAGCTAATCCGCAGAGCCATATTAAACACTGTTTTTAATAGTGTTTTCAATTAAAAGTTTGATGATAATGATGCCTGGTGGTCTGCAAGAAATTCTGAGGGTTGATAGCAATCCAAAAAAGTTTGGGAACCTCCATTCTGGTTCCTAGTGTGTTCTCTCAAAAGCATATCGCTATTCACTCTTCTTCACCCACTGCCTGCAGTCACAGCTGAGACCCATGTTTTAAAAGGTATCCTGTTGACTTGCATGATTTCTTTCTTCATCTCCTTTCAAAACAATCTATTCTTAATCGATAAATTGAAAGACTGGGAATGTGAGATATAATAGAAACTACAATCTATTCATAATCCATAAATTGGAAGATCAGAGATATGAGATATACTAGAAACTACATATATAGATACATTTTCCTTTCTCTTCAGGATGAGAGTAAATGAGAGTGCAAAATCAGACCCAGGAAAGTTTTTTAATTCAAACACCTTTGAAACACATGTAGAAATGCTTATAAACAAGCAGAAACATATTCCCATCAGGGAACATAGCAGCTGCAAGCTACAGTTCAGTAGATTTACTCAGAGATTAACCAGAGAGAGGTTGCTTACATTTTATGTTTAAGCTCAATGTATTCCACATGTATCCAGAGTAGAAGGTAAGCCATTTTATCATGGCCACTGTGTCTGTGACCTGTCCATGAGTTTTCACACGGTGCTTCCCTTGATCAGTTTTAAAAATTAAAGAATATCCTGTCTATCTGCCTTTCACTCCCCCTCCTCCCCATTATGCCCCTGATTACCTTTGGGAACAGAGGAAAATATCTTTCCTTCACCCACTTGAGAGCTATAGCAGTGATGGAATTACCTCAAGTCATGGGATAATACCAAATGGAAACCATACTGACTCTCTGATGAGATTACTCTTCTGTTTCAATGCAGCTCTAATGTAAGAAGGGCTCAGAAATAAGATCTGGCTTGAAAATCAGATTCTTTTTGCAAGTTAAGTTGTCCTGCTAAGAATTAAGGTTTTTTTTGGTTTAGGTTTTTTTAACTAGAGGATGTTCCAAAACTTCTCCTGAACTTCAGTGTAAGCATTACCTCAGCAGTTCTCTAAAGTCCTGGGATCAGTAGAGTCTATCAGAAAATGCTGATGAAGGAGGGAGGGGAACCTCTGTGCTCAAATAATGTGTCTGCTGTACACAAAGCTTTCCATTAGCATGTCATCACTTGGAATCAGTTCTAAGCAAGTCTTTGTTAGGCAGCTAAAAATATTTAAGTAACGATTGCTGTGATACCTGAATGGAGAACAATAATCTCATTTTATGGAATTTTCTGAGATTTCAAAAATATTCTTGTTCTGCTATGAAACAGAGACAAGTCTTTCCAGAAATGTTCATGAAGTAGAGAAAGATTACAAATAGCAGAAGATTTGGGATTTGACCCAAATTTGAAGTTATTTTTTTCTTTTTCCAGTGAATATCCTGGTCACCTAGTTATTTGGTACTATATATGCTCACTATCTGTGTCTCAGAAGAAAAATTCTTGGTTGACTTTTTAATGTTTTCTGGAGACCAGAATAATTCTGGTGAGATTTTATTTGGGTGGAAAAGACACTTTTTTGTGCAACCCCTGGATTCATCCATTTCCTTCTTAGAAATGCCTGCTTTGGTGTCAAAAGCGACAGTTCTGCTTTAATTCCCAAAACATAAAATAAATGTTTTCAGGAGTAACGTGAATGTTACTCTATCTGATCTGATAACTGTCTGATCTAATAACAGGTGATCACCACCAGTACTAATTGAAATGAAGCCTTTTGTCTTTGATGAAGGTGCTGAAGGTCACTTCTTCCAATCTGCCAGGCCATGAGAGAAGTCTTGCCTGTGGTCTGCCAGTCTGAGTTGCTGCCATTTGCTTGAGTTCATTTGCATTCCAACTGAGAGCTGTATTTTAAAAATGGTCTAATACCCAGTAATGCAGACCTTTGCTGCTCAGACAGACAGATATTGGATCATTGCTTCCTAAGATGAGTGATTTCTGGCAGATAGGGTAAGAAGAACCTATTTATCTGTTGTTGGAGTCGTGCAGCAGCCTATACTTTACCCCTAATTTAGGTGTCATCTCTGACTAAGTTTTAGACTGCTAACTGAGCACTAAACTTAGTATGGTCTGATGTGGAAATTATTACAAGTTCCATAATTGCTATGGTTTACTACACTCTAACATGCATATATTCGGCAGCTTATTTTCAGCATGTAACCACAATCAGCTGAGAATCATATATACTAAATACGTATTTTGATCATTCAGCTGTGAGTGCAGGGTTAAAGATGTAACTGTTTCATAGTTATTAGCAAGGCATCTATTTTTCTGAGTAACTAGATGAGAATATTGCTATTCCACACATCATTCTGAAATGTCTTATGTCAGCAGCTAGATGAATAAGACTGCCGCTGAATGTCAGCTATTACAACTGTAATTCAACTTGAAATATTAAACTGTAGAATATACACTGTTCAGCCAGTAATTTGCTAAACTTTGGATCAACAATGATAGAAAAAAACCCTACATGCTGCTGTTAAACAAAACAAATTCCTCATGTACTTACACAAGACACCAGATTGATTATATGACATGATACAATACAGGTCAGTGGTAAGAAGAAATGAACCATGGCAGAAGTTTGAATTTGTTTTGCCAAACCTATCCTTTTCAACAAGTCGTCTTTTGCCAGTGAAAGCTGAGGACACATTGAGTCATTTTTTATGGGCAAAAGACAATAGATAGATCTAGATGAGTAAACTAAAACTCAGACAACAGCACCCTAAGTAGGGTTGGATGAAGACTTTTACAGACAAGTTTAGTTCCTTTGTAATTTTGTATTTTATTCAACACACCCATTAGCAATTCTCAAGGAAAATAGCACAGGCTCTTCTCTTTGGGTTCAATCCAAGGGCAATACAAATCAGTGAGAGTTTTCTCACTGGAGCAGAGTCTTTCTCTATTTGCATTTTCAGTGTAATTAATTTGGGGCTTCTTGGTTTATAATGTAAAAGCAGGGATTAGTTTAATTTCTCTGTCCCTCGAATTTATTATACCCGGTGCTGCATAGATCGCTATAGACTACTGCAACCTCTTTGTACAAGCAGAAAAAACACAGTAGAAAAGCAGGGCTGGCAGGAACATCAGGAGGGTGTCTAGACCATCCCTCAGC